TATGTCGGTGGACAGCCTGGCAAATGTGCGGTTCCCGGTAATAGGCAATGATAGGCCATTGCCAAGGAGCTACATGGAGGGTTCAGTCTCCAAGTTGCTAAACTTTGTCAAAAGGATAGGACTGGAGAATGTAATCTAAGGATCAGAAGAGGACCACAATAGATCTGAGAAGGTCGCAGTGGATCAGGCCGAAAGCCACCTCTAAGAATCTAATCTAATCTAATAATAGTCTATTTCAAATTTCCCGCGAAAAAATTACGAAAACTTAAAGGGGCAAGCGAGACGAGGTCACTCTCCCCACCACTCAAACATGAAAGGTACCGCGCGAACTGTCGTCTCTTGTCTTATATACTCTTTGACTCTGGCCTATACAGTAATAAAAGGAATCCTAAAAATTAAAGAAAAAAAGCACGTAGAAATACGTAGAGAGTTCTCACGTCGCAGAAATGCCCAAGCGGTACCGGCATGATGTGCCGTAGAGAGGGGGAGGTGGTTTTAGTCAGTAGGAATCTGACACTACGTCTTATGCAAGATTTCCTCTTCCTCTAAAAAAAATAAAATAAGTTTTCTGAATAATATACACCGTCAGCTGATACTAAATTGTAAATTGTGTGGGAGGGGGTAAGTTAATTACCGTAACGTTATATAGATCTATGGTGTCACCCTTTCTTGAGTTATAACTCATCATATAGTCTCAGCCGGGCTTTGACAAAAGCCAGTACCTGAAACAGCTTCACAGAGGCTTCTCCATCTCCGATATCAGTCGTACCAAAGTTTATGGCACGAACGGTTGTCATCTCGGCGAACTTAGTGGTGAGGTGTTCTGGTGTTTCTCTCTTTTCCCCACAAAATCTACATACGCCGTTGTTTCTTAGTTTCAATCTACTGAGATGTTTATTGAGGAGGCAGTGTCCAGTTAAAAACCCCGTGACAATCCGAAGATTGTTCTTACTTAAATTTAGGAAAATCATTGATTTAGTTTGGTTTGGTCAGTTCTGAGAAATTTCTTCGAGTGTCTTAGACCGTTGGAGGATTCCCATTCCAGGTTACGGATGGAGTCTTCCAGGTTCTTGACTTCGGCTTTAAGTTGGTTTTCACTTAGGAAGTAGAACGGTTCTGGTGCAGTTACTGGAGTGTTTGCCCCTTTTCTAGCTAGATCGTGTGCTTTTTCATTACGTTTTATCCCTTTGTGTACTGGCACCTAGAGTAGGAGGACTTTATTTTCTTTGCCTAATTTGTTCAGCTTCTCTAGGCATTCTTTGACCAACTTCGAAATGGTTATTACTGAGTTGATCGCTCTTAAGGCTGCTTGAATATAGGATAAGCCCGTGGTTACATTGGATGCGTGTCCGTGCGTTTTTTTGGCCGTACGTGCTCGGACGTGCACGCAGCAAAAAACAAACAAATGGTATCTACGCAGGCGGTTACATTGCATCGGAGTTTGCGCGTTCGTGCACGTACGTCAATTTCCGTTGGTCGGATGAAAACAAACTGGTTTGTTTTTTTAATACGTGCACGTCCGAGCGTTCGAATTTTTATGTCTCTGGGCCCAATACATTCCCTAAAAATTTGAATATTTTTGAATACCAGGTTTATTTTTATTTTAGATATATTAATGGTGCTTGAAACATTCTAAAATATTCAAAAAATTTGACCGGTTGCTATTTTAATTCACCAAATATTTTACATATTCATTTTCTTCCCCCTTTTCTTGCATATAAATCATTTACCTAACATTTTCTTCTGTTCATTAGTAGTTATTTTAACATTACATCCTCAGACAGCATCAAAGTAGTGGCGTCCGTTTTGACAAACTCGACACACAGGACACCATGAACGCGCATCTAATGTAACCACTAAAATAAAACAGTCGTGCGAATAAATTTGGTCAGAGCTCGCACATTTAAAAAAAACGCACGGACCCGCGTCCAATGTAACCACGCCGACGGAATTTACTCGCACGACTAATTTATTATAGTGGTTACATTAGATGCACGTTCATGGTGTCCTGAGTGTCGAGTTTGTCAAAACAAGAGCCACTACTTTGATGCTGTGTGAGAATATAATGGTAAAATAACTACTCATGAAAAGAAGAAAACGTTGGGTAAATGATTTATATGCAAGAAGAGGAGAATAAAATGAATATGTAAAACATTTCGTGAATTAAGACAGCAACCGGTCAAATTTTTTGAATATTTTAGGATTTCTCCATCAACATTTATATATCCTAAATAAAATTAAACCTGGTATTCAAAAATATTCAAATTTTTCGGAAATGTATTGGGATTAGAGAAGAAAAATTCGAACGCTCGGACGTGCACGTATTAAAAAAACAAACCAGTTTGTTTTATCCGACCAACGGAAATAGACGTACGTGCACGGACGCGCAAACTCCGATGCAATGTAACCGCCTGCGTAGATAGTATTTGTTTGTTTTTTGTTGCTACGACCAAAAAAACGCACGGACACGCATCCAATGTAACCACGGGCTAAGGTGGCTATTTCTAGCTTGTACCACAGATTATACAGATTATAAACTTATCGTCAAAAGCATTGTTTTTCGTGGTTCCAATTTTTGGAGTCGCGCACTAATTAGGTTACCAGTTTGCGCACAAGCACGCCCACTTATGGCCTCTAAAATTGTGCACAGCGCCTGACCGGCCTTGTGACCGGCCCAGTTATTACGCTGTTTAAACGGGAGTTTATTTTTGCGCACAAGCAAATTTACTCGTTTGCTCATCGTCATAAAAAATAATTTTTGTACCACGAATTAGGGACAAGATTTTTATCTGAAAATTATTCTCATTAGTGGACGGTACTGCACCACTTAGTTTAGAACCAGAAAGGCAGGACTTTGATTCTATTGGATTCCTAGTAGAGAAGGTCAGATCCGCAAATTTTAGATTGCAGTTATTACTACTTCCAAATGGTAGGATTCAAAAAAACAGCTCAAAAGTAGCAGATTTTTGGCCGTGCATATATAGCTGCCCTACACAACACTTCCATCCACAAACCCTTTCAAAAAACCCTTCCACAAACCAAATTTCAATCATCTCAAGTAAACTGTTCAACTGTTATTTGACTGTTAAACTGCGATTCAATCGTAGCGATTTTTAAAATCGCAATCGCAACCTGCGATTGGCTCTCATAGGGAACTGCGATTTACTATATCTTCTACTTGCGAATTTCAATTTAAGCAACCATTATTACTATAGTTGCGATTTGCGACTTTGTTGGAATTGTGATTTTGTAAACTAGGACCCTGATGTGATAACCTTTTATCTGCGAGTTAGAATTTTTAGGAGTTACGATTTGCGATTTTGTTGCGAATGTACCTAATATTGTGGTTCATTGCAGCATTTTATAGTTAATTGCGATATTATTTTTTCTCTGATTTTATTTATTTATAGATAAGGTATTTTGTTCTAGGGCCAAGATCATAATATACCGGGTGTTTCTCAAGAGTGGTTCGCTTCTATAAATTTTTATTTTTTTTCTGATAAAAAACGAGATTTGGTATGTCAGCATATTATGACATAAATTAGGATTGATTGACGTATTCAATTCGTTTGGACCACTTCCTGTTTCACTGGAAATGACTACAACTTTTGATTTTTAAATGGCACCCTCGGTATTTTTTTTACTTTATTCGATAGAAATTGACACTCATCTGAATAGAATGCTTAGTACAATATTTAAATATTAAAATCGCAATCGCAGGTTACAATCGCAACGGCTTGAAAATCGCAATCGCAGTTTCAATTGCGATGATGCTATCAAATGCTTCCAAAGCTAAATTAATACTCTATTATAAATTTTTCTTTACAATTTCAAACTGAATATATACTCTATATCTTGAAGAGGAATCGAGCAAAATATCAAGTGTGTTATATTTTTGGAAAGATAATTTTAAATTCTTTTCAATAAATTAAAAATATACAGGGTGTCCCATATTAAAAATCAAATTTTCTTTTGATAATTCTAAAATTATTAATTTTAAAAAAAATATACTTAAACCATTAAATTCTACGTAAAAAGGTGCCTTGGAAATGTTTTCATAAAAATACAAAATTTTCCATAGCAAAAAAGTCACAGTGATTTGTTAAAAATGCATATTTTTGAAAAATACCCCGTAACTCCGAAACGGTAAATCAATATGCGGTTTTCACCATCATATTATTGACAAAAATTGAGCTACAGACACCGATATTAGTTTTTGTCTATCTCCTATAGAAAAGAGTGTTTCCATTTAAAAGCGTCGAATTTGACCCACCCTGTACATAATTTTTGGTACCGTTTTTTTGCTCTCCTGTAAAATTAGAAATAATGGAGTTAGCAGTTTATCACATTTCACCGACGATATTATGTAAAATAGATAAATCCAACTTATACGAGTATTTTGTGTTACCCAGGAGCTTTTGAGGGGGTTTGATGAGTTTACAGGGTTTCTTGTTTGTGAGTAGAGGTATCAATGACTAAAGAATAGAAGAGGGTACAAAGATATGGTGTTCACATAATGCTTTTTTTATATGCTTTTTTTAAAATGTTGTTTTTTTTTACCTCCTTCGTATCTTGGTTATCTTCGTACTAAAGCAATTGAAGCTCGAATTGAAGTATATGGAGCACTGAAACGAAACTTTTCCTACATAGCTTTTCTGAAACAATGGATCACCCTGTATATAAAAAAATTATAAGGCGTTCAGCATAATACACTTTAATGTGTGATTTTTAAATAGATAATTTTTATTTACTTTTTGTTTGATGGTTTTCTATTTTAACCATTATTTAATGTAAATATTAAATTTAATAAATTTTTTGAATATTATAGAAATGTGGCGCCATCTACCCATCATAGCGTTAACACATTAAATAAAAATACCGTGATCTACTTTACTAGGCTAACTATATCGTTGTCTCCTTTCACCCGAGAGAGATAAATAAAGAGAAAAAATAATGACAGATCACCTTGTTCCTATTTTCAAGCCGGTTGTTGATCTGTTTACATTTTTCATATGGTTGTCGAAGTTTAATGTTGACTTTCTAAACATTTGTCAGTATTTTCGAACGATTTTAACTATTGTCGATATTCATTGATTGTAATAATGCGTTTTTACGTGAACCTAGTGGATAAATTTGTTACCAGTTTCCAGTGTTTGATTTAATTTTCGTACTTATTCTTTAAATGGTAGTGGTAAAAACTTGTTTTTTTATTACGCATATTATTAAACTTTTATTATAATGAGTTTAATACAAGCTAGTTTACTTTTCTTAATAATTGCCATATATGAAGTTAATACCAAAGATTCTTGTAACAGCCAGGTTAGTTAATATCCCAGTTATTTTTACACATTAATTTTAAACTTTATACCTTTAAGTAATAAGAATTCTGCATCTAAATTAACTATTACCTTTATTAACAATATAGATATCTTTGTCTTAATTATTTTTGGTCTATTAACAATTAATTATATACATAATTAGATGCATGTTCTGTTTGTATTCTATTCGAGTTAAGTATATTTTGTTTATATTGTGTAAAGTGTGTTATCTTGATCCTTATACTATAAGTTAGAAGTTAAGTACCTATAACTATTTGAGAAGATTATTATTTACATAGTAATCTACTTCGATACAAAGATATTTTATTTAAGGATTGCCTAAAATAAATATGCTTACTCAATAGGATAGTTACACAAGCCATAAAAGTTAATTTATTTTAGATATATCTGGATTTGCAGGAACAAATTCGAGTAAAACATTATTCACCAAATGAATGTCTTCAGTTGAATTTTGATGGCAATGAAAAGCTTAATTCACGTTTGGGTAATGTGGGCTTGGAAATTCTGAAGGAAAATAAATCTATATTTCTAAATGTATCCTTGAATGAAATAAAATGGAACAGTAAGTATTTAAATGTAGATAGAAAAAAAAATCTTTAAACCTAATAAAATATTTTATAATAATGAATAAGATTTATTTATCCAGAACGAATGTTGCAGCTGTCCTTGACTAAAAATACAGTACGTAGTATTTATTACCTATATTTGTATTATATATTGAGTTTTGATTTTTTCCAAAATGATCTAGCCTTGGTAGTTATTTTTACTATTTATTTACTTTTATAAAGTTTATTTAGGAAGTTTGATTATATGCTCAGTAAGTAGTGATATTTCTTATTTTAATAATTATGCATCTTGCTATTTCCGGTCTAAGCTTGTTGGATAATACAGGGTTATTCACCACATACCACACGGAATATTATAGGTAAACAATTAGATTTTTACAATTTGTAAGTTTAAGGGTTCTTTGTAAGACTATTACAGTTACAGTTTTAAATATTTTTACAAGATACCGAGTGTCCCAAATAATTTAAAAATATTATAGTATTTTTTTGGATGGATGTGTAACACCTGTATACTATTTTATTCTTAGATTTTACAATTGAAATAAAGGTAAATTTGATTAAGGTTTATCACACTTAAACCTTACCGTTTTTGAAATATATTCAATTTTGTGAAATTGTAGTAAAAATTTAAAGGCTTCATTTCTCCAAGGGTATGCAAGTTTTTAATGCTAAATATTTACTGAAATTTATTTATTGATCAGATATCGTGTTGCAATAATAAAAATAATACTACCTAATACAGGGTATCTAAAAATTTATTTTAAATAATTACTAGCACAGCAATAACTTGTTTAATTTAAATGGAACACCCTGTATATTTTACGGGAATCAGATGTACAGGGTGGTCGGAATTGGTCTGTTTTAACAGAGAAAACCTATTTCCTGCAGCAAAACCGACATAGATGTCATGAGCTCGATTTCTAAGACACCTTTAATGGCATAAACCGCCTGTTGATATTTTCACTGCCAACTGAGATACGGGGTCTTTTTGATTTTTTATAAGGCACTTTTTTAAGCACAATCCAGTGGCGTAGTCAGTTTTTTTCAAACCATATATTGGTAATTGGTATTATACACAAAATTATATTGGTATAATGGTATTATAAAAAAACTAACGGTAGTTGAAACTAATGGTGGGTTCGTGGAGCACGCTATTTGCGCTATCTGGTACATGCACGAAATTGCTCCGCGAGCAAAAAGTAGTATCAAACAGAGCAAATAGTACACTTTAGCATGACCTCCCCGTACACCCTGTGTCCAAACTTTTCCAACCATCAAACTTTTTCCATAGTAAAAAAATAAAATAAATACCATAAAAAATAAAAGTAACAAACGGGTAACCAAAATAGAAGATAATAAACTAACAAGAATTAACAGCTTTTATTTGGTAATGGCTCCTGGTTCGTCAAACGGGCGAGTTGACGTAGTTCGTTTGCGGTCCGTTAAGATTTTTTTTGCTAAAATTAGCATCGTTGTTGTTCATTTTTCCCTATTACATTTTGTATACGACGCTTTCTATGAAATAAAATATAGAAATATTATTACCTTTTTGTTAGAATGTAAAATTTTTCAAGACAAGAAATTTCAAGAGTCTTGCAAGACAAGACAAGACTTTGCCATTCAAGAAATCTTCAAGACAAGACTGAAAATTTCTTGTCTTGAATTTCAAGACAAGACAAGAATTTGATTTTCAAGACAAGAATTCTTGTCTTGTGCAACACTAATACTCCGTGTCGTATCTGGTGAATAACACTGTATACAATATGATCGAAAAAAAATCGTCGTCAGCGATGGCTATGAATTGAAGATCGCTGTCATTTTATATGTAAAATTATATGGGGAATGTCATCGATATTCATTTCCAAGCCAAACTGGGACGCCGTTTTTTTTTCGATATCATACGGTATTTTCCATAAATTCTTATAAATCACCTTTTTTAAACATATTCATTTCTTCTGTGTAGTAAAATACATATACAGGGTGACCCAGGCTTATGAAGAAGCTCTACATATATTGGGTTTTTGGTTTTTTATTTTCATTTACATGTTTTTACATAATATGGAGGCAACGGTAACGCAAATTTTAAGAATATTTTTGAAAAGGCAACTCGGACAAAGTTTTGTTTAATCTTTTTGTTTTATTAAGCACTTCATATACCTAAAATCGATAGTTAAGGAGAAAATTGTGTTTGTTTTTAAATATTAGACAAGATCTGACTTTTGACCCTGTAATTCTAATTCAAAAAATCAATGAAATAAAGAAAAAAATTCTGATAAACAGATGTACTACAGCATTCTTATATTAACTGTTAAAGTTTTATTTTTATAACATAGTAATTATCTAGCATAAGGAACATGGGGATAAGTATTTCATCGTATTTTACTTGTTACTTTTAATCTCAATTAGCCATGTACTGGGTGCGTCTGAAAAGTGGGTCACCTCTATAACTTTTTTATTTTTTCAGATAAAACAACGAGATTTGGTATGTTAGTACCTATATAACATAAGATAGGATTAATTGACGTATTCAATTGTTTTGGTCACTTCCTGTTTCACCGGAAATGACTACAACTTTTGATTTTTAAATAGCACCCTCTGTATATTTCTACTTTATTCGATAGAAAATGACACTCTGAATAGAATGACATTTCATATGTCAACTTTTGACATTTTCACAAATTTATTTGAAATTTTAACATACGGTTCATAACGACAACTTGACTCGAAATACCAAGTGTGTGGCACCAAATTATTCGTAAAGAATGCTTTTCCCAAATATCCTAATAAGCAATCCTCGTTCCATTTGAAGAAATTGAGGTATGATTAAAAATACGATTTGGGCGTCTTTTAACAGGCCAGGACAAGACACGAAGAACGATTAGACGATCAAAACTAAAAACTCCAAGGCTTCTTGATTAAAAATTAGTGTTTTTAACACAGCCATGGCACTCTAGATTGAAATTTAAAATACGATTTTATTTAGAGCAAAAATGTCAAAAGTTGACATATGATACGCTATTCTATTCAGAGTGTAAATTTCTATCGAGTAAAATAAAAAAATACGTAGGGTGCCATTTAACTATCGTAAGTTGTAGTCATTTCCGGTGACACAGGAAGTGACCAAAAACAACTGAATTCGTTAATCAATCCTAATTTGGGTCTTATACTAACATACCAATTCTCATTTTTTTATCTGATAAAATAAAAAAGTTATAGTGGTGAGTCATTTTCGAGACGCAAAGCAAGCATTAAAAAAAAAAAGTTTTAAATCAATATGTCAATATTAACCTCAGAATTGCTGATCCGATACTAATTTTTATTGCATTATTTGCGATATTGAAGTTGTACAGTTTTATAAAAATATCTTTTTATGCTATAAATATGAATGTTATTTTTAGTTATGTTATATCCTTTCATAAAATTCATATATAAGGGTTATACAGGATGGCCCATCGAAAACGTTCCGCAAGGCATAACGGCCAGGGTATTCTTTTTTCAAAAAATCCAAAAAAACACGTCAATTTTGTTTGTGAGGGGGACAACTTTTGCCCCAAAAATGATTGCAAAATCTTCAATCCTTTAAGCGGGGTGCCATCCCCCAACTTTTTTCGAATGGGAAGGGGGGTCAAATGATGCCGCAATGAAAAGAGCTTTCTATTCTCTATATTTCCCCGCCTCGTTTTTGAAAATCGGTCTGAAGTCAAATCGTTTTTGAAGTCATTGAGAAAATATGAAGGATTGAAATTTGAAAAGTTTATTTAAACATTTATCAGAGTAAATGATAAGGATAAATTCCTTCGACCTTACTGTATCTTCTTCAAAATTCTTTCTTCTTCAAAATTTGAGTTTTTTTCTTATAATTTCTAGATGTTTACGCATTTTTCATTTGCCACAAGGTTGAACGATCAGGTGCGGTAGTTGCTAGATAGCTGTTCTGTGACTTGTGCGTTGAAGTTCTTCTCAATATCGTTAAACTGACCCACTAGAATTTCCAAAAATACCAGCCCACACGTTCAATTTCTGAGGGTTTTGTGTGTGCACCTCCTGACAAACCCTGGGGTTTTTCTCAGCCCAGTACCGACAGTTGTGCCGATTAACTACACCGTTCAAAAAGAAAGTACACTCATCCGAAAAACACATTAAATGGGAAATTATTATCATTCGCCACTCGTTCACTCATAGTTTCACAAAATTGCAAGCCACGATCAAAATCGTCTTCGTTGAGTACTTGTATCAACTGAATTTTGTACGGGTGGAACTTGTGTTTTTTAATATCCTTTGGACACTTGTACGATTCACGCCGGTCTTATTGGCTAATTTTCTTGTACTCAGCGTACTATCCATGGCAACTTGGCCCAATACGAATACCTCCATAGCTTCATTTACTACAAGATTTTCCCTCTGCCTCTTTTTATTCATAACGGAACCAGTTTCGCGAAATTTTGCTACTAACTCGCGAACAATTTTGCCATAAAGGTGTTTGTGACGTTCATTGAATATCTGCGCAACCCGATTGCCACATTCGTTATTTTTAAAATAAAGTTCGATTATTTCCACTTTTTCTGCAAGTGAGTACATCATAATTATTAAAAAGTTTAACGATATTGAGAAGAACTTCAACGCATAAGTCACTGAACAGCTATCTAGCAACTACCGCACCTGATCGTTCAACCTTGTGACAAGTGAAACAATGCGTAAACATCTAGAAATAATAAGAAAAAACAGCAAATTGGTCGAAGGAATTTATCCTTAGCATTTACTCTGATAAATGTTTAAAAAAACTTTTCAAATTTCAATCCTTCATATTTTCTCAATGGCTCGACCGATTTTAAAAAACGAAGCCGGAAAGTATAGAGAATTAGCCCTTTTCATTGCGGTACCACTTGACCCCCCTTTCCGTTTGAAAAAAAATTGGGGGATGACACCCTCGCTTAGAGGGTTGAAGATTTTGCAATTATTTTTGGGGCAAAAGTTGCCCCCCTCACAAATAAAATTG